AGTAGATCAATAAAATTTTGAGTATGAGTCAACAAATGTGATGACATGGTTTTTTGACCCATGACCTGTCTGGACATGGTTAACTGTGAAATTAATATTCTTAGCACAACCAACCATAATGTATTGTAATGTACTGAAGGGTTTTTGTGACTAGTATCACACCACGTCCTTCTCGAACCTTCATGAATTATCGGGAGACTACTAGATTGGGGGTAGTCTGGTATATATATAAGACGGTCACAACGTGACGGAACAACAGTGTAATGAGTAATTGAATGTATGCGGACAGAATATTGTTGGCCACGTGAGTCTTGAGTTATCGCGTTTGTTATAGAGAGACTGTTGAAATTAAGTGTACCGTAAAGTTGTATTCGGAAAGAATAAACCAGTTTTATATAAGAAAGGACTTGTGTCGCTAAAGTTTCGTCGGAACGAATTTATGGAAAATTAACTAAAGAACGGAGACGTAACAATGTATATGATATTGTGTTGAAGAAAAGATATTTAACCTAAGTATCGATTAACCCTTAAACAGAACCATGGGTAAACCGAAAATAGCAGACACTTATTAAGCCTAATTGAACAGTCCAGAACAAAGGATATCACTAAATACTAAATTAAAAACTTAAATGAACAATAGGTATGTACAATATTGGAAGAAGTTTGTGTGGACCCCAACTCAAGGGTTCCAAACAAACCAAGTGCATAGGAAGGATAAAAAATAAATGATAATGAAATAAGACATGATTGTATACAATTAAGTAAGTGTGTAGTAACAATAACATATGTATGAGACGCAATGTATGGAAGAAAAAACAATAAAGTTAAACTAGTGATTGATATACCAGTAAGATGAATTACAGGTAATCCTAAAATAACAAAGACTATGGTAATCCTAAGCGATTGATATAGGAGAAAAGATACAACTAAGACTAATTGCTAACTTGAATATGAATATTAACCAATCTAACGAAACTTATGTTATGGAACCCAAATAACTATAGATAATAATATTAAAACAATAAAATTATACAAAAACCAAAACAGTAGAACATCTTATCTTTCCACAGTCAGTGGACTGTATTTCAAATGTGTCGGCCCCAAAACTCTGAACTTGACTATGACTATTAACCAATCTAACGAAACTTATGTTATGGAAGCCAACTAACTATAGATAATATTATTAACAATAAAATTATACAAAAACCATAACAGTAGAACATATTATCTTTCCATAGTCGGCGGACTGTATTTCAAATGTGTCGGCCCCCAAACTCAAGGTGAGGCCCAACAAAAGTCAGTTCATTGGAAGATCAATCTCCCGACGAAGTAAAGCCTAAAATCTTTTCGTGGAGTACTGCAACCTGAAGCCCATGTAAATGTGCTAATAGAACATATAACCTCCAAAGTGGTAATGTATAATTCATAATGCAAAATGAATAACCAAACACAACTGTGTTGGCATAAAAAAAATGTTTTTGTAAGGAAGTAATAAGTTCTGTAACTGGGAAGAAATATAAAATAATTTCACTTCGACATAACAAGTTACAAAAATCACTACTGTATAATAAAGAGTAAACTTGTTGAAAGAAAATAATACAAAAATATGGAAAAAATAAAACACTTGAAGAGAGCACAAACTAAACCTAATAAAAGGAGTACTGCGAAACAAGAAGTAATAATGTGGCAGAATTGAATAGAGGGAGGCACGTACATCTTGTCACATGATAATTTGCATGAGAGACGCATTGGAATTAGTCAATTCCAGATGGATGGGAGTTTCAAGGTTTGTGGCATGTGCAAAAAAATGAGAATAGCTATTTATGTGAGAGGAGGTAACGTACCAAATTCGGGATTCAACCTGGCATAAAAGCACCTTGGTGACAATCTTATGTAATTGTCTTGTCCACAGTTGTAATATAATACACAGTGAAGCAAATCAAAAGCTTGATAAGAACACACACCTCAAAAGCTGTCTGTGAATAATGTAGTTGAAGTTCAAACAACTGTGTCAACTTTGACTTGTTAAAACTCAGAATACATTTGGTATGAATGTCTTTTTACTTTAATACTTAATTTACTTCCCTGTTCATCAAGGTTCATTCAGCACTGACAACATCAAACTTAGGAATGGTAAAGTGGTAATAACAGAATACAATTAAAGAGTGTAATTGCAAGTGTATTATTTCACAACACACTACAAAGTTTTTGGAAAAAAAATAAATGGTGTAAGAATGCACTGAAAATACAGATTTAGTACATAATGTCATGTGTCAATAGCTTTACTCCTGACCTTTCACTTATGGAGTTACAAGTACATCTAGAACATAATCTTTAGGGCCAAAGGTAAAATTAAACAAACCAAACTTTCATTCTAGTTAATTTCTTCCCCTACACTGCTAAGCCTAGGGACATTCACTTGTGATTTTCTGGAATTAAATTACCTGAAAAGTTATCTGTATAACTTCATTCTGCACATTTTCTTACTGGTATTAATTCATTCTTATAATTAGCTAAATAGAAGTGTTATTCAAAAATTCCTTTCCTTCACAATGATGTTGCCAATGCAAACTCAAATATCCCAAACTAAAAAAATTCACTGTATGATGCTTTGGCAATTTGCCTTTACATATTCTATTTCTACACACTCTGTTATATACATAAAAGCAAATATATACATGTGTGTATTGGCACTTTTGAATAAGCACATTATATTATTCACACTTTCTTTGATTTTTTGATTTTATAACTAATTTGTTTGTTTGTTTGAAGTTAAGCATAAAGCTACACAGTGGGCTATCTGTGCTCTGCCCACCACAGGTATCAAAACCCGGTTTCTAGCATTGTATGTCCAAAGACATACCGCTGTGCCACTGGGGGGGGTTCTTTAATTAATACTAATTTAAATATAAATAAATTATCACTAGTAAATGTTTTTCTCCTGTTAGCACTAGTGTTGTTGTTTTTGATGTAGCTGTATTGTTGGTTTTTCTTGGGTAATATATAACACTTATACTAGATAAATGATCAGCTATTGAACCAATAGATTTAACCATGGCTTGACGAAGAATATTTGCTTGAAATGTCACCTACTTACATTTTTCTACTTAAGAGATATTATTCTCTTTATTTATTCTTAAAGTTCAATTATTAAAACTACAGCAAGCTTTCTTCATAATTACTTTTATTTATTCACTATTATTACACATTACAGATAAAAAAAAGTAGAGAGGTTAATTACAGGCTGCTGGAAGTGAAGCACGTTCTTAATCTACACATTCATTGTAATTCAAGGTGATTTTTCAGCTGAACATGAAAGTGAATAATCACTGAGATTTGTATTTTATACTGAAATCATTTAAATTAAACCTTTACAGAACTTTGGTAATTCTAATAGTAGTTCTTATTAAACAAGAGAAAAGCTAGGGAAATAGATAACATATACATACAAAGAACTATTAAATTTTGCTTTTTCTTCAGTTTTTACTAATGAAGATTTAAGCAGTATTCCACATCTTGAACAGCTGATAGATGGAAATGAGATCAAACAAGATGACTGCATTAATTCTGAACTGGTTAAGAAAAAATTGGGAAGTTTAAAAAATGATAAGGCTCCTCGGCCAGATAATATTTCCTCAAAGGTTTTGAAGAAGGTTAAAGATTGGATATGTGAGCCACTTACTACTATTTTTTGTCAGTCCGTGAATAGTGGGAAGGTGCCAGAGAATTGGAAGTTGGGTAATGTTACTCCTCTTTTTAAGGGAGGTGACAAAAATTGCCCCAGTAATTATAGGCCCACTAGTCTTACATCAGTTGTGGGAAATCTGATAAAAGATGCTTAGCAAAGCCACTTAACAAAGTTTAGAATTTTATTGGATAGTCAACATGGTTTCACAAATGGAAAATCTTACCTTACAAATCCTTTGACGTTCTTTGAAAAAAAGTTACTGCTTATGTAGATGAGAAGGTATAGATTTGGTGATTCTGGACTTTAAGAAAGCATTTGACAAGGTGCCACATAAAAGGTTCGTAACAAATTATCTCTATGGGTGTGGAGGATACGTTAACTAATTGGATAGACGAGTAGCTGGATGGAAGAAAACAGAGGGTTGTTATAAATAGATGGATTTCAGTCAAACTGAATTAATGTCACAAGTGGGGTACCTCAGGGCTCAGTCTTAGGACCTTTGCTCTTTTTGATTTATATCAATGACATAGATGATGGAATGGTAAATAAATTATTCAAATTTGCTGAATAATATTAATATTTTGGGTGTTGCTGACTATGAGAATAATGCTCTTGCTTTAAAAAAGGATATAGATTACTGGGTGAGTTGGGAGAATAACTGGCAGATTGCTTTTAATTAAAATAAGTGCAAGATAATGCATGTGGGATATCATAATTTGAATTATGAGTATAATTGTGATTGGAATAATCTTAACAGTATCATGAAACAGTGTGCTGTTGCTAATGGTAGGGTAAATAGGATTTTGGTTGTATCTACAGAAATACTGAATACAAGTCTAAACAGGTTATAATTTCATTGTATAGGTCACTGGTTAGGGCACGTTTGGAGTACTGTGTTCAGTCTTGGGCTCCTTACCTAAGGAAAGACATTGAATTGTTGGAAAGGTTTAGAGGAGGGTTACTAGAATGGTGCCTGGAATGAATAGGTTGTCATACTAGGAGAGGTTGAAATCTCTCAAATTGTTTTCTCTTGAAAACAGAAGAGTTACAGGGGATCTGATTGAGGTGTTTAAGATTGTGAATGGAATTGATAGCGTTGATACATTATCTTTTTTCATATTTAACAGAGAGAACAGTAGAACTAGGGGACACAAATATATATTTTGGCAGGGTAGGAGTTATCTTCATCTAAGACAGATTTATTTTTCTAACATGGTGGTTAGCCTTTGGAATGGGTTCCATTAGATTTTGTGGAGACAGTAAATTTAAGTGAGTTTAAGAGAAATCTCGGTAAGTATATATATAATAAGGGTTGACTTTTTTTAAAATTTATTTATTAATAGTTTTAGTTTAGAGGATGGGACAGCCAAGATGGACCAACAGGTCCCATGTTGTCTCAAAACATTATGATGGGTTATTCATTTGAGCTTAATTCTACTTTAAAACAAGAATACTCAAAATGCAAGAAGTTTAAGAAACAACGAGTTAACCACAGATGAAAATAAAATAAGCATTAAAGGAATAGGCATACTACATGGGCTATGAAGCCAAATGTACACAAGATCTTTGTTTAATCTTTTGATGGGTTACATTATAAAATCTAACACTGTCCTACAATTGTATTCTGACAGCATTCATTTTATCTGTATGTATCAAGTGGAATGATCTTAGAAGAAATAAATACTTATCTGTATATGTATATAGCTTTCCCCATTCTGTTTAGGCCTATAATAAAAAACTAAGTATATTAACTTTGTTAAAAGACAAGTAAACATAATTTAACAAGTAAAGCATTATGTGAATATGATCATTAAATTACTTGTAAGGTTGTCTGTATAACTTCACTTTGCACATTTTCTTACTGGTATTAAATCATTTTTATAAATAGTTAAAAATGTAATTGAGAATCTGTAAATTGTTTCTCACAAATTAAAAATTAATTTTTATGCTCAGTAGGTGCCCTCTAATGTCTTTTTAGGTAATTGCTTCTTCCAAGCTCTTTACTACAAAAATCACAGCCATATGGTTTATGTCATTTAAAAAGCAGATTCACCCAGTTTTTCTCTCATATATCTTTGAGGTCACTAGTTCTTTCAAACTCTTTCTCAAACAATAGACAACTGGATTGTTTCTCTCCAACATGTGTCTTCTTATGTTTTTTCAGCAAAGTACTAGTTCTAAAATCTTTACCACAAACTAAGCAAATGTATGGTTTCTCTCCAGTGTGTATACGCTGATGAGTTTTTAGATGACTGTTTCCTCCAAATTCTTTGCCACACACTACACAAGTGTATGGTTTCTCACCAGTGTGTGTCCTCTCATGTTTTTTTAAGTTACTATTACTTATGAATTCTTTGTTACACACTACACACTTGTAAGGTTTCTCACCAGTATGTATTCTCAGATGTTCTTTTAAGCTACTATTTGTTCCAAAACCTTTACCACATACTATACAACTGTATGGTTTTTCTCCAGTGTGTATACGTTGATGTATTTTTAGATAGCTACTACTACTAAATTCTTTGTCACAAAAAACACAACCGTACGGTTTTTCTCCAGTGTGTATCCTCTGATGCATTTTTAGATGAGTGTTTCCTCCAAATTCTTTCCCACACACTACACAAGTGTATGGTTTCTCTCCAGTGTGTGTCCTCAAATGTTTATCTAGCTGACTACTTGTTCCAAATTCTTTGCCACACACTACACAAGTAAATGGCTTTTCTCCAGTGTGTATCTTCTCATGTGATTTTAGGTTGCTTGTACTTCTAAATTCTTTATCGCACAATACACATCTGTAGGGTTTTTCTCCAGTGTGTATTCTCAGATGTTTTTCTAGCTGACTATTTGTTGCAAATTCTTTGTCACACACAATACAACTGTATGGTTTATCTCCAGTGTGTATCTTCTCATGAGATTTCAGGTTACTACTACATCTAAACTTTTTTCCACACACTACACACCTGTAGGGTTTCTCCCCAGTGTGTATCCTCACATGTATTTTTAAATGGCCATTTGTTCCAAATTCTTTTCCACACATTACACAGCTGTATGGTTTTTCCAGAGTGTGACACCTTTCATGTTTTTTTAGATCATTATTTCTTCTAAACTCTTTGCCACACACAACACAACTGTATGGTTTCACTCCAGTGTGTATCTTCTCATGTAATTTTAAGCTACTATTACTTCCAAATTGCTTACCACACACAACACACTTGTATGGTTTCTCCCCTGTGTGTATCCTTGTATGTATTTTAAGTTGACTATTCCTTCCAAATGCTTTACCACACACAACACAACTGTACGGTTTCTCTCCAGTGTGTGTTCTCTTATGTATTTCAATTTGACCCTTACTCTGAAATTCTTTACCACAAAAAACACATTTGTATGGTTTATCTCCAATGTAGGAAACCTGACATTTTTTTAGATTTTTTTTTTTTGAAAATATTTTCCCACACACATCAACACTGCTTGGCTTCTGAGATTTTATGTTTTTTGTATTAGGAGCTTCTTGTATCAAATCTTCATATGCTGTTCCACGTTGGTTGTTGATGTATGTTTTTGGATCTACAATTAAAAGGGGCAAACAATTACAGTTTAAGTAACATCATACATAAAGTATTTCATCTTCCTAACTATATTTTTTGCTCTAATAAATAAGTTATAAAAAAATAGATAACAGTACTAAAAAGTTGTTGATATGTTGTTTATATCAGTGGACAGCATCCATTCTTAGATATTCTCATAAAAACAAACCTGATAGTTTAAGTATACAAGAAGATCGAGACTAGGCGTCTACGTTTTATATCATATCACTCCTGTAACATGAAACTTGGAAACGTCACAGGTTTAGACAAAAACATAACATTTCAAAAATAAGTAATTATATGATACAGAACAGGGTTCTCAAATGTTTCAACTAGAACCTCCCTCCCAAAACCTTATACACCCTGGCAGAGAACCCCCACCTAATGATTTAACAGAAATGTTGAATAATAACTGCTCTTAGGTACCTTACTTTCATTACAATTGTACTTTGAAGCAAAACAATTTTGTGTAATCAAATTTACTAAAATAAATTTCTCACTGAAATACTGCTTTGTCAGGTTTTAGTTAAGCTTTAAGATTTCTACATGTGCTGAAGGCCCCGTGAGATTGTTTCATCAACTACAATTTGGAAACAACTAATATCAAATTTAAAACTCAATCAACTATCATGAACATCTTGTCAGTCGAGCAACAAAATTTTAAAAATGGTAATCCAACACTAACACTGTAACAACAAACATAAAAAAAAAAACAGCTTTACCAGACATTGGAAAAAACCTTTTGACCAACATGATACAAAGGTAAGATTTAGATTACCCTGCAGGTTTCCTAAAAGATCATAGTAATGTTCAAACTGAACATTCAACAACATTTTAGTTCAGTTTAAAAAAAATGTAAATAACAATGCACTAAATGAATATTTTATATTTCCGAGAATTTCTCTATAAATACCTTGTACCATGATTTCAACATAGTTAACTAACAATATTTTAATACTTACTACTTTTGCAAAAGTGTATATAGGTAACAGTCATGGCTGAATTTGAAAGTATGACTACATGACTATTGAATGATCCAATGATTATATCAATGAACAATGATGTTTAATACTTCGTGATTAGTGTTTAAAATGATGAAAGCACAGATGGAGCTACTTAATAATTATCTATCTAATTAATTATCCTTCAACACTATATATATATGTTATACTAACTGGTTAAATGGAGTGTCTTAATCATCCCAGATAGAATTCACTATAGGATAAGTACTCAAGTTGGAACATAAGTGGAATAACAAAGGACTGACCACTTAAAATCCCAAAAAAGGTCTATAAATGTAGTAGATTGATGTTTTATTTATCCCGAATTACTCTGCAAAAAACATCATCTCAGATGTGAAAATTAAGCTGTAGCAATTTGCCAGTGCATGTTCTTTCATTTTTCTTAAATTAATTAATATATATTTAATTCCTATCATTTAAAGATCTCTTACAATACCACTGTTATTCCTATTTTTCTTTGAATATTAAAAACAATTTAACCCACAACCAAAACAGGGGAAACAGATCAACCCAAAAGAATCACTTATATTTTACATAACTTCTCTTTACATATCTCTTTCATCAACCAGTTAACATTATTAACCCTGTCTGAGCTGGCAGAGTGACACTGTGTCACCCATTTAATATGCTCTCACACTTAAGATGTTTAACCTAATTGCAATAATATTTTAGGATGTGAATTTTCAGAAATTTTATTGTAAAACACAGCTTAAAAAAAACAAAAAAAAACAAGTATTTTCTTTTGTTTTTCTTTTTGTGTGAGCATGTATGTGTATGCATTAAATTGTAACCTACGGGGTAATCACATGCTTCAAAGTACAGAGAATATTTATCATTTTAATATATTCGAGTTGAATGTACAAACAAGTAACACTTTATGAAATGGCAAATACAGTTTTGTATATTAAAGTCATTAAGTGTAAAAATATATAGGAAATATCTACGTACTCCAAAAATATATATATCTTTACACAACATTCTATGTATACACACACTATCTTTCAGGATTTACTTTATTTTACCAACTTAAGTATCAACGTAGTTGTCCCTAAACGGAGAGTTGAGATGTATCAATATTTGAATAGTCTAACCCTTTCCAGACTATTCATACCAAGTATTACCTGTAAAGAAAGTGCAACATAAAATTTTGGAAAAGTTAACTGAGATTTTTCCCACAAGTTTCCTCCAAAAATTATATCTGAAATATTGAAATCTTAAATTTTCTTTTGATGTAAGTTTTATTTTAACATTTGTTTTAAATGAAAACTTTAGCCTTGATTGTCAATTTTAGCCACCTGTTGGAAGTTATAACTTTCCAATACGAAAATGTATTTCTGATAGGTACATCCCCCCACTCACCCTTTTTGTGCTTCCCTCTATATGCAAATGTTTTTCAAAATGCATGCCACAAGCCTTCCACATCCCTCTGTTGGAATACAAAGTTCCAACATGTCTCTCATGCATATCTTCATGCATCAACATTCCACCAATAGGAGAGCACTACTATCATGTGACTCCCTCTGTGCACCACTACAAAACTATCACTTTAAAGTTTGGCAGAAGACGAGAGCACCAAAAGATTGTCGGGGGGAAGGGGGGGAAGTGTGAGAAGAGGGAAGTACCTATCAAAAATACATTTTGTATGGGAAAATTATAACTTTCGATATGGTACTTTCCTCTTTGCAGGATCCATAAAAAAAATTATGGTATGGGACAAGGCTGCCTGATAACCCAAGATAAAAGGAACTGAAGACCCATGGTCGAAAAACCAGAGGAGAAACTCTGGCACCTGAGACATGGGATTGATCTGAAGGAAATTCCTGACTCATAGAGTAACTGCAGAACACTTTCCATTTATGCCAATAAACACCAACTGAAGAACAGCAAATGGAACAAGCTAAAAGAAATGTAACTGCAGGTATAAACCAGATCTCCCTGCGAAGAACTGAATAAGAGCCAAGCATGAAGACAGATGATGTGAATGTCTGGATGGAGTACTGGCGAATGAAGTGGACGAAGAAGGGCAAGAAACAAAGTAAGAGGCAGAGGAGGTAAAAGTTGGAGCTGGAGAAGTTGCAGAATGATAGAGATGAGGGAAATCATCCATGGAAGTAAGAGGATGGGGGGATGAACATACAGGAACCTGTGGAACCAATCCTGACCGAAGGCATCAACATCCCTAGCTACAAGAGGGGGTACTAGATACCAAATACAGGTAATGAGAATCGAGAGACCACTCCGATGGAGAGAATGTATCAGGATGACAAAAACAAACTACAATCTGAGTGACAGCACTCAGAACATGACATGCAAGGATATGTATATTAGTGTGAGAGGAGGTCCAAAAGAACAGATCTAATATGTGTAAAGAGAGAGGAAGTGCGAACAGGTGCCACACACAGGAGCAATGCTCCCAAAAAAGGGACAAGAGAAGAAAAGGAACAGACTGTAAAACCCTATTAATAATGGAAAGGAAAACAAACAGCAGTGTCACACCCAATACTAACCCAAAAGCAAAGAAGCCATGTGAGGAGGGAATAAACTGAAGATGGCAAAAACCCCAACATGGAGGGAAGAAAGAGGAGGTATCTCTTGACAAACCCAAAATGTAAACATAACACCAAATAAAGAGAAACATGAAATATTAAAGGTATGAGTGATGTTAGGCAAAAAAAATAATGAAAAATGCCTTAAGAAATCTGCCTGAAGTTAAAATAAGGTAAAAATTGAAAGTCTGTAAAAAGTAAGGCTTCTAAGTTCCAAAACTAAAATGAGACAAAAGGAACAGCACAGAAGATATGAAGATAATATTCTGCAAAACATGTCTGAATATGTGTAAAGGAGGTCTAGCAGATACTGCAACAGAAGTGTGGAAGGAATTAAATGATAAGGTCAGGGAGAACTGACAATTTTTGGACACTGGAAAATGGGTTCAGCCATCAAATAGGGAAGGTGGGCAATAGCGGAAGCAGATAAGGCACACCAACGTGAATTTAAATTACTGGTACAAAGATAAATTATAAACAAAATGAAATTAATGGTAAGAAGTATAAAGTAGAGATTAAATGAAAGTAACTGTATAAATAAAAAGTATAAACTATAAAGAAAAACAAAACGAAATAGTGAACGTAGTGAAAAATGGGAAGAAAATGGTGTAGGGAATGTGTCCCTTATGATATTGAGTTGAAGAAAAATCTGGAAGCGTGGTAGATATGGACCTGTCCATAAAACTACAGGAAACCAATAAACTAATTAATAGTATGAAGGATGAATTATAAACTGAATGAAATTAATAGTATAATAGAAAAAGTATAAACTAAATGATATGAATGGTAATTATTATAAAGTAGAGATGAAACGAAAGTAACTGTAAAAGGATAAACTATAAATAAAAACAAAATGAATTAGTCAACATATTAAAATGGGAAAAAAACGGTGTAGGGAAAGAATCCCGTATGATGTAGTGGTGAAGAAAAACTAGAAACTAAGTAGATACTAATCTGTTAATAAAGGCACTGGTAAACCGATAAATAATACAGTAATGAAGTCGAATCAAACATGACAGTGAACAAAAATAACAAGGAAATCTAAACTAGAACTACAGTGAAATCGAAAAGAACAATAACTAGTTAAGTCTAATCGAACAGTTTAGAACAAAGGAGAACCTAAGAATGAAAAGAAAAATGAAACCGAACAATGAATAGACACAATACTGAGAGAAGTCTGTGTGGGCCCTGATTCAAGAGTTCCACCAAAACCAAGTGAAAAAAAAAGATTATTAACAAAATAAAATAGAAATGATATGAAAGTAAGGAAATACCAAAGTTAAACTAATGAAGGGCATACTATGTTAAGACTAATCAAATGGTACAGAAGAAAAACAACAAAGACTAATTATGAACCATAACATAACTTGTATTAACTAATCTAAATAAGCATATGTTATGGAATTCAAATAATTAGATAATAATATGAAAAATAAAATTGTAAAATGTCTTATCTTTCCAAAGTTGGTGGGCTGTATGGCAAATGGTGGACCATGAAGTATGAAGCGAGGTCCAACAAAAGTCTGAACATTAGATGATCAAACTCCTGATGAAATAAGGTGGAAAATGTGAAGGAAAGCCACTATAAATGTGCAAAAAGAACATAGAATCTCTGTATTGGGAATGAAGACTACATAATGGAAATCCAGTGGTGGAAAAAGGCTATCAAGATCTCCATCCACCCAAACAGGGTCAGCATCTAGAGGAGGAATTGTGGGCGAGAACCAAAGAAAGAGGTTGACCTTTTTAATGTTCAATCTCCCAGAGGATAAACACCGATAAAAACCCACACTGGCTTGTGAGATAATGCTAGTCATAGGCATGACCCCTGAAGTGGTAATATTAGCTTCAGAATGTGACTGGAATAAGCTGGGATAAATGAAGGCAAATTTCAAACTCCAAAAAATCTGGAAGTTATAATAAATGAAGATCACTTCGTGAGTGTACTAAATACAAATGTGAAATAGTAAAGAGTGACAAACAAAAATGTCTGAGTACAAGTGCTGCTAAACGAGAAGTGACAGTTTGGTAGAGGCGCATAGACGGAGTCATATGCATCATGTGAGTGTACTATGCTCCTTTTGGTGGAGGTGGCACATGATGATTTACATGAGAGACACCTTGGAATCACTTGATTCCAACAGGGGGAGCAGAAGGCTTGTGGCATGCGTAAATAAAAAGTTTGCATATAGGGGCAGCAATGAACAAGAATAACTAATCTTGTGAGTGGAGGGAATTACAGTATTGGAATCTGTTTATACTTAAATTTTATTGTTTTATTGCCCTTTGAACTGTATCTAACTGATATAAGATTTAAATCACCTGGTGAACATGTAGCTCATGTTACCCTATCAAATTACATAACACACAGGCTACTCGTGAGCATACCTCATGAAAGTTTTTAATATTATTTTACCTAATCTAACCTAAAATGTTTTACAGTTTAGTTACTTTTATAATAATAAATAAAGAATACACATGAAAAACAAGAAATAAAGTACTTTTTAGTTTTTTTATTTTGCTGTTGACTGTTGATGACATTTAACCCTACTTTGTTTATACCAGTGGTACTACTGCAATAAATAATTTTGGATTTAATTAAATAATTAACCAAAGAACACAATAATAACCTGCAAAAAGCAGACAATGTCCCATAATTATCACAATTTTTCTGGCTTTCTAACTACGCAACAATAGCCGTTAGAAATTCAGCCAAGCTCATTGATATGTTTCTGGATATAATAAAGTTTAAACTGGAAGTAAAATAAATAATTCTCTATACAGAAAACAACATAATATATGATTTGATACATTAAAACCTTGGCTTCTTATTGGTTATAAATATTAGAAAGAACTATTGGCAATTTCTGAAAGAGAAAATGTGACAAGTGGGTATGGCAAGAAGGGTCTGATTTTCTAGTTTGTGGCTCTGTAACCAAACAAGATTGAAAGCTAATTAAGAATTCAAAACTTTTATATAATATCAAAACTATGTTCTGATGCCAAGTTTAAATTTTGAATGTAACTCACTAAAACCTCATTACATGCACAGAAAAAGATGCCTGTAGTGAAAGTGTTAATTAGAAATTTTCATTTTATATATCAAATTAAGTCTAACTGATCTTATTTTTATCAATTATTTATATTTGTTATTCATCTTTATGTGATGAAGCAGTTGTATAGTCAAGGAAATACCAATAAATGACAATGAACAGTATAAGTGTTGACTGATAAAAGTACAATTTCCATTCATATTCTAGTCCTACATTGATATAGACCATATTTTTCAACTATATTTGGTCAAGCTCAGTTTCTCTCCAATAATTACAGCTTGTTTTGAATAACTAAAGAGTTCTTGTATGTATTGTTTGAGTAATCATAAGTTTACTAATACACACAAATAAAGTTTTTCTGGACAGTTTCCCATCTCAGAACTCTTAGCTTATCATACTCACAAACCCTAAATATTCTTATTTTATGTCTTCTGATTTAAGAATATTCCTTTTTAATAAAGATGTAACATAACACAAAAAAATTATCATAAACAAAATGATCGTCAAATAAAAACTATGAAAAATTACATGTTTGTTCCTAAGTTTTGAAAACATTAAAATCCTTTGTTCTCCACTGCGAACTTCCGCTAGTCATTTTCTCAGACATCTTACATTACTGCATAGCCAAATGTTTATTTTACACTGACATAGATATACAAGAACCTTTTCTTTCCAATGACTTGAGAGGATAAGTTTTTTAGTTACTCTAAATCCACGTACTGTGGCATCACAAAATCTTCTCAGTACAGGGTTCATGAAATGTTCATCGAGAGAAAAAGACATCAGAAACAAAACCTTTGATAAGTATCTTTAAAAGATGTCAGGGTCTGCATAAATATAAACCTATATTTTAGGATGGGCAGAAAATTTCTAAAACAAAAATGGGTTCTCTTTACAGGCAATACCTGTTGGAACCGTGCAGAGATCAAAGTTTAAACATTTTCTTTATATTTTTCTTTGTAAAGTTTCAAAGGAGATACATACTACTTATATTAGTTTTAATACCAGAAACAGTGCAACCCTAAAGATAATGTATATTTTTCAGAACTGGTGAGTGTTTCATTTGTAATTTGAACAAATTAACATTATTCAACTTTACAGTTCTCATTCTTTTGTTTTAGAACTCTCACATTCTTTTGTGAGGTTTTCACTTCAACAGTCTAGTTTTAATTGAATCAGATCTTCCAATGTCTCTTGCAGGGTCTTACCTTCAACAGAAGAGTTCAAATTGCAGTAAATCTTCCTAATTCCTTTTAGGGTCTTTACTTCAATTGAAAATTTGAAGAATAATTTCACACATTTTATCAGAAAATATACAATAATATTTAAAACACAATGGAAAACTATAGCTTTTCAAACAGTTTTCAATTAATATACAAATCTTGAGGAGATAACTGTACTTACCAGATATATCTTCTAATCCAGAATCCAGTTGTAGGAACTCTTCTTGAAATTCATTTTCCTTTTTCACATTCACAACATTATCTTTTGAACTAGTTAGATCATTATCATCACTCTCACAGAACTCAGAAATAATTTCTTGTTGTAAATCACTAGGTTGCTCAGTTGTCACTCCACAAAATGTGTTCTAAAATAAAAGCATATTCAAATGGTCAGTAAGAAACAACTAATGCAGAAACTAAAGTATACAAATACACAATTCTTGTCAGAGTATTAAATGTAAAACATGACTAACTACAACTGTCATTGCTGCTGTGAATTGATATCTGATAGGTTTTATCTTGGCAAAAAAGTACTCAATAGGAAAAATACAGTAGTCATACAGGGTTGTATGATAAAGTATTTTAATTACTATTAATTATAATAACATTTGACAAAAACTATTTAAATGGTTATACTGCAATTTCCACAATTAGCAAACATATTTTGAGATTAAACCAGACACAAATAAATTTTTGTTTGCCCTGGAAATTATCATACACCTACAAAATAATGAATATATGATACTGAGATCACATGAATGCTTCTATTATTTTTTTTTCTCAGAGCAAGATATTAATGTGCAACATTTCCAACAAAAGTAATTATTCCATTTATAATAACTGAATTCTTGGTTTTGGATTAACAAAAGAATTAACAAGAAACTGATGTTTCACCCTTTTAAAAAACAAGTTTAATTTTGGTAAATTGATATCAAACTTTTTTTTAAAGAAAGAAAAACAAATGTTTTCCCTTTAATTTTTCTAATAATTAGGTTTTTCTGTAACACCTTTATTTTAACTAGAATTAACACAGGAAAATTAAAAAGATATTTTTTTCTACTGTGGACTGACAACTGATACTTACAGCAGCTCCAACTAGTATGCTTAATCTGTGAAGTTCCTCAGACAAATCTCTCTAACAATAACAGTTCATTTGTTTTCATAAGTGATTCATAAACAATAATATATAGTCTTAAGTAATTGGGATGAAATGCATAGTAGCAGGTCAGCCATTTCAGAGTTTACTTGCTATCAAATAACAAAAACAGTAGAGAAGCTTCAGGGAATGTGTTTTGATCACTGCATAATCAAGAAAATCTCAAGTGTACACTAGGTAACGAAAGAGTAATAAAAGTACTGTTTAAATTTGTATTCATTTTTATGGCTTTCAAATTTCTATTTTCAATACTTCATAAAATAAAATAAAAATAAATATCGTGAAGTTAAAGCATTATTTCTTAATTCAAATATGAGGTGAAATAGACATTCCATAATCTTTTTCCTTTTACTACTTATGAAAACAACAATCAATAAAATATAATTTGATTGCTATTCAAATATCTTACGCAAAAACTGAAATTAAAGAAATCATCATGGACATTGCATGGATCTTCTTAAGTTTCAGTTCATGGTTCACACACACACATACAAAACTGTATGCGATAAGAACTCAATGATGAAAAAGTTATGAAAATATTCAGCCAAGTTTTAAAGATAAACTGGATTAATCTACTCATTGCTTAATTGAAGTTTATATGTACATAACAATTATTTTTTATAACTATTTTTGCTATATAATATAAGGTCACCTGATATCCTTCAGTTTAAATACCATAGTGTACTATATCAAGCTACCTAGGTATGTGTAGGTGTGAACAAATAGCCAAACCTTTCTGAAGTATAATTAGAAGCCCTAGCTTAAAGGGAAAAAAATTATGTATTTGTCCTGGCCAGAATGTGAATTTACAATACGACATTTTCCTAGTATAGAACATTATGATACTTAACCATTCACATTGTACCAAGAAACAGGCCGTGACCTCGCTGACGCAACACTGCCCCCTCCTTAGTATTGTTCGTCCCGAACAATAGCCACTTACATTAAACCAATAACAATTAACAATAACTTATTTAAATGTACAGAATTACAAACACAAAATTACAATTCAACAAAGTCTCTTAATTTTACAGGACGTATCTTCTTCCGTACTGGTCTCCGTCTCGTTGGCTTCTGCTTCAAATGGGGTTCATCTGCTTCATCAGGAAATGTTCTATCGTCGATACCAGTCACATCAGTGTCAGTAACTTCATCAAGGGCTTCACCGTTTCCCTTCTCAAAACTGAGTAGAGTTTCTTCAATGGTGGCTTCTTCAGGTGGCACATCTTCAGCAGCGTCATTTGTTCTGTTGTCCACTTCGTCCCAACTGAAATGTCCTG